AAAGTGGAAAAAAAAAAAAAAAAAAAAAAAAAAAAACACATCATGGTAAAATTAATACCTTCTCAGCTTCGCATCGAAGCTAAAATAATTATATAAAAATAATTTGTTCTCATGACTTAAAAACACATAAATTTTCTATAGCCTAGATGTAGCATGGTCTGAATGGAGTTATCATCTTAGTGATGATTACACACAGTATATTGGATACTATGAAGGAATGACAGATGATATAGACATTCATTCTAAAATAAAAGCACAGTATTTATCTGGAATAAATAATATTAGACATTGGCATAGTGTAGAACCTCTAAAACAAATAATAGAAGTACATATTTTTGAAATAAATAATCATGAGTAATAAATTATGAGCTTTTGGAAACTTGTCATAAAACCTTGTTTTATTTAAGTATCAACCCAACAGTTATTAAAAGTATAATAGATATGCATAAAAACAATAAAGAATCGCTATGCTTATTTTATTTATCATATATTTCTATAATATTAATATTAAGTTAATATTTTATAATATATAATTTCTAAAGACATAGGTCTTTGCAGGGCCATTAAAACAATGTTGTGTGTAAAAATATATTGTAATAAAACTTTACAATTCCCAGAGTAAATTATTTCACTACTTTATACTTTTAACGTTAAGTTAATTATCTTAACATAAATGACGGATAGGGGAGTTTTACTTGACAATCGTATAATATCAATACCAAACAGTAACTTTATTATACATATATATATATATATAAACTTATAAATATTCAATATATCAATATATTAACATTAGAATAATAATAGTAGAAAAATAACAAACAAAAACGAAACATCACCCAGCCATCAGCTATCCATAGTGCAATTAACGTTGAATCGACTGCCAAAATGCTTCCCAAAGTAATTGTTCCTTTTGCGTATGGAATGTCAACCTCCGCTGCTCTATTTCCGTTGAGCACTCGAGTAATAGCACGTAACTGGTAATATAAAGTGTTGGTTGTCACCTAAACAGGCCAATACCAACCAAAAAACAATGAAACAAATTAAAAACACGCCAGCTCACTGGCCACGAGTCATCAGACTCAAGAGATGCGGTACGACTTCAATCGCGTACACCGACGTAATGCTCGCAAGGTGCCGGTAGTGCCGGACACGATTGTTGTCATTACATTGAGAGAGGTAATGCCAACTCGAGCTATGTGTAACTTTACGGGCTACACACATAACTTTTGAACATTGTGCTTTCTGAAAGCAGGCAAATACATTCCTGTAAATCTGTTATCTCTTATATACAGAGTGATTTTTTTATCATAACCCACTCAATTACTTACAGAATATATATATTTAAACATTTTTTTTTTTTTTGGTTATCTTTAGTTACACATTATTATTGAATTATTAACTATGTATTACGTTTTAAGTTCGCCTCTTATGCCTTGTAAGGGTTTAAACTTTGTTTTTTTAAATGGAAACACATATTTTTAATTTAATAAAATATTTGAGTTTTTAATTTAATAGTAAATGGGATTTGAATTTTTAATATAACTTTATTCATTTATTAGATATAAACATTTAAAGTTTCAAATTTTTGAGTTAATATACATGTATAATACAAAAGGTATTACAAATACAGGTAGTTAAATGGTTTTTATGACATCGCTGTCACAGTCACGGATTGTTTATTGTCAATTATGACTATCAATAGATATATTTTTTATATAGTCAGTATGTGTGTTATGAACTTACAACAATGTGCCTTACTACCATTGATAATAACAATGCTGTGTACTTGCTAATATTGATGTCATAAAAAACCAATTAGCTACCTGTATTTGTAATACCTTTTGTATTATACATGTATATTAACTCAAAAATTTGAAACTTTAAATGTATATATCTAACCACCGAGAATATGTTCAAGTCCCCTTTTATATTTGCATTGTTCATTAAATAACTATTAAAACAATAATACTATAATACTTTCTAGTATTACAATTAAAATATTTCGCATTATAATCTTACTTTCAAGTAATTATAGAGTTACATATAAATTCCTTAAAACTAATATTTACAAAATAATTATGGGTTTACGACAAGCACATAGATTTAAAAGTTGACAGCCTTATCAGAGTATGAGAAATAAACTTTAAAAGAATTCCGTAGATAATAATTTAGGAATTTAAGGTATCAAAAAAGAAAAAATGTTTTAATTATTTTTTTCTGTCAGTAATTGAGTAGGTTATGATCACACTGCATATAAATTGTTATATTAATAGAAAACATAGGATTTATTATTATCACTAGATATTTCCATTCCATTACACCTCTATCTCCAACTTAGGTAAAAAAATTTAATAACTTCCTAAATACTGGTCATATATTTTATATATTTATAAGCACTCAATTAAAACAACTGTAAGATTTAATTTTAAAGCTATAGTTTATATTATTAGAAAGAAGCTTTATCAATAACAAAAACATGATTTGTAGTTAGATGAAATTGCACAGGCATATGCAAATTATATAGCTAAGACAGGAAAATATGAAGTAGGTGTACCAAATTCAGCTATTCAATTGATAATATCATGTCGTGATGTTAATGAAGACGTCGGAAAAACTTTACCTTATGAATTGTATAGTAATTTTGATAAAGGTGATAAACCTTTTGATTTTGAAGCGAATGAGGAGGAAATGGTTAAAAGTAAGTAGTAATAATAAATAATAATTTTTCAGTATAAAAATTATATGGATATTAAATGAAAATATTTTAATTTATATTTTATAGTATTCCATTATTTAAATTTTAGCTTTAGGCCAAAATCTGAATTTTCGCATGCTAATATTCAATATATTAGTTTATTCTTAATACTTTTAATATACTTGTGTTTCAACGCACGAGGTCCCAGATTTGATTCCCGAGGTGCTAACAATATTTTTCTTGTGATTATCTCATTGGTGGTGTCCGGTCTCTAGTGCAAGCCGGTTATAATACCCATTCCATCCATCATTGCAATGGCCATGAACCATCTTTGACTCTCTAACATGTTAAAGAGAGCCACCACCCTCTGTAGCATGTTAAGTTCGGTAAATAAAAGGATGTAAAACTGATATTTTATTATTTTGTTTTACTTTTAATTGAACAAATAATTTTTATTATTTAGTATGAAGGTTTATGTAGCTTTATGAAGCGTAGGCAATATGCACATTTTGACCGATCAATCTTACTGTCTATGAATAGATACGGTAGTATAAAATTACGCAAACACGTAAAATAAAGTCAACACGTATTGAAACGGCCGGTGCGACAGTTATAACTAAATATTATTTAATCAACAGAACAGTAACTTAATAAATATATTGTTAGTTTAAAATCTCATTAACTAGCATATAAAATTAAAAGAAACAAAGTTAATTTTTAACTAGTTACATTAAAAGGATGTCATTTAACAATTTTATTACATTTAAGTTATTTTAATACGTGTATATAAAAATAATATATAGCTATTAGGTAATCATTAAAACTTAAAAAAAAAGAATAAAATATAATTTTTAATGAAATATTGTTAAAAATACTGATTATGACCAAAAAACTGTATTGATATGAATCTGGAACACCTTTTGTTAATTTGCAACAATCATAAAGATACAGTTGGAGAGATTGGTGGGCCAATAATATAGTATTAAGGATGAATAAAAGTGCATGATCTTAATTACGTTAAAAGCAAACTAAAAAATATAATTTTTTAACTTTTATCAATTTTTTAATTAATAATATAGATATGTCATATCTACGGATTTTTTAGGAGTTACAGGTTATTTAATGATGAAAACCTGTAATATAATTTCAAATGTTTTAGAATTAGAGGAAAAATAATAGTTAAGCGATTATAGCGTTTAATAACAAGAATAATTGAAAGGAGAATTTACGTTATTTTTATGCAAAACTTCATTTTGGTCAAAAGTGTAGATTCGGGTTATTTCGGGTTTACATAAAGTCTTATTATGATGACAACCCTTTGATTATAAGTATCGAATTATGGCTAAATAGTTTTACACTTACAAACAAATTATTATTTATTTGCTATGCTGTATGAATTAATATAGATGAGAATATTATTTTGTTTCGAATTTCAACTAGTATGACTTGGATAAGTTCTACACTAGATATCATTAATAGAGTGTCTCAAATTTTGTGTAATTTCCAATCATCGAAATAAATGGGTTTAATAGGAAAAATTGGGTTTTCATAGTCAGAAGAGGGTAGTGTAGTGATCTTGGAAACTAGAGATCTTAATTAATTGTTAAATGTGATTGGCTGGACTTAATCGAGGCTCTTCATATAAGGGTTATTCTAAATTTGTACAACAATCAAATGTTGTCCCCCGTTAGCTGTTTATTTTGTGTTTTAAAGAAGGGGAACCCTGTTATGAACACCTTGTATATTCATAATATGTGACATGTATGTCAAAATAATAACATCATGTTATAGGCTAATATTATAAGCAATTGCATACTATTATACTAAGCTATATGATTTTATACAGTGCAGAATGTTGAAGGGCGTCGAGTTTCAACTTGTATAATTTGGAAAAGTTCCATTAACATAGGAATTGGTGTGGCAAAAACAAATGAAATTATATGTAATAAAAATACGCAACGTGGGCCATTTTATATCATTGTAGCAGCGATACATCCTAGGCCAAGTGTATTGGAAAAATTTAAAGAAAATATAACACCTAGAAATCTAGTGCCCATGATACATGATGGTTATTTCCAAAATCTAGAGAAAGAAAAAGAACGCGACAAAAGTTTTATTAGATACAAAATGGACTCATTGTTCCGAAACCTTATGGAACGTGTTCTAGAAAAGGATGTCAGCATTGAAAAAAAAGAAAACTAAACGTTCAAAAACTCATTTCTTATTTTTGAATTATTATGCTGTTAAAATAAATATAAGTTATAACTAAATTAATCTTTATAAAAACTTGTCTGTATCATTAATAATATTTTTACGATATTCATTTAAAATTCTCAAGTATATCTAAATGGTTCTTAAAAAAAAAAAATCACAGCAAGTATGAAATTATCTTGATTATTATTTATATTAATGTATCAATTATCAACTAATAATAGGTTCTTAGTAATTTTAATAGTTTATTAGTAATATATACACTCTTTTACGTATGTTATTTAACATCAAGAGTTTTATTTGTGTATTATAGTGTTAAATCTTTTTTAAAACCCGATATTTGCCATTTATTTTAATTCGATGAAGATTGGGTCCATGTGATTTAAAACAATAAACATCCCTCCCCAGTGAGTTTTGGTGTATGTATTTTTATAAAAAACTGAATACGTATTTTGCGTGTTAATGGTTGTCATTCTTTGTGAATATTTATTTAATGATTTATTATACATGATAACTGTGTAAAAATCAATTTATAAAATGGAGAGAAATTTCAAAATAAAAATAATTATAAATTAATTTGTTATTTTACAATCAACAAGTATTTCTTTAACATAAGATATCTTTAGGAAATTATTATTATTTTAAAGTAAATCTATATTAAATACAGGTTAATTCAAGTTTATTTATTTATTTTTTTTTTATCGAATATTATTGAAAATATCTATATATACAGTGATATATTTAGCTCTTTAGTGTCACTTGAATGATATATTTTTTAAATGTTCACTTATATTACTAATTAATATTTATTACACTTAAAGGAATAACATTTTTAAATGTCAATACTTTTTGTAAGATGATATTTTTATATATTTAAATTTTATATACAGTATTCTTTGTATGAATACGGGAAAAAATATTTTATATTATTATATTTATTTGGAAAACCTTATAACAAAATTATTTAAAGTAAATTAATTAATAATTTTTAACTTAAAATACCAAAAAAGCCATCTCTCTATAAGTACCGTTCTAGGCTACCGAAGGAGGAATGTCTATCATAAAGGGTAAAATTATTATATTTACAGTAGTATTAGGTAAAAAATAACTTCAATCCTATTATTAAAAATAAAAGTGGAGCTATTATTTTTTTTCTATTATTATTAAAAGGAATAGATAATAATACTACTATTTACACGATTCCTCTGTATTCACATATAAACTCTCTTAATTTATATTTTCAATTTTTAAAAATTATAAACAATATGTTGGTTATTATCAATGATTAGACTGTAATATGGATACATATTTTAATATAAGAAATCATTATTTTACACTTGTATATACATTGAAAGAGTGTCATGGAGTCGTGTGTATAAGACAAATGAAGAAATAATATAATGTATTTTATCAAATTAAAGTATAGTTTAAATAAGTTTTAAAATTAGTCTACATTAATATAACAAAATAAGAATCTTCTTAAACTACAATATGATGATATTATTAAATTATTTATATAAAAAAATTCTTAGAAATGATTGAAAATAATAAAAAATTACTTAATTAAAGATTAACTTCGATATTTTTGAAGATTTATTAAAGATGTAGATGAAGAGCCATTCTGTATTCTCATATGGAATGAAAAATACTTAATATTAGTTTATAAAATTAAAATAATAGTAAAAATGTAATATTATACAATGGAATGAATTGAAAAAAGATTCATTGATACGTATAAATTATTATTTATAATATAAATCAACATAGTTGGCTATAAATTGAATAATCCTATTTAGTTTTCTACATATATTTCAATTTATAGCTATATGGAATAGTTAAAAATACATATTGATTGTTCTGATATTTTCGGGAAAATTAATCAATAATGATTAAATATCCTCTTCTTCATGTCTGGTTCAATTTTCTACGAATTGTAATTTTTCTAGAAATATAATAAAAAAATGAATTAAATCTTATGTCTGATTATAATTGTGTCATTTTAGATAGACCCTACAAACCCGGATGACATTTTTTACAATTATAAATTAAATTAAATTTATGATGTTATATATATTTATAAGTATAAAAGTGCTAAGTTTTATTTAAAAAAGTTATAAAAGTATATGATAATCATTCAAAATATTAATGACTTATAAAACGGTAGTACAGTAGAGTCCTGGCATAGTTTGTACAAGTATAAATGATATCTATCAGTATTTAAAATCACTATCATATGTAGTAATTAGATGAGGAAGTATTGAATTACGTCGATTTTAGTATAATATAAGCTTTACAATAGTAGTAAGCAATTTTTGAACTCTTAAGCAATATAATAATTCCATATAAAAGGGAAATGCAGGGTAAGCAAATTAATAATGGTGGGAAAAAGAATATAAAAGGGAAACATGAAAAGTATAGGAGGACGACACGGGACGATACTGGGCGAGACGAGACTGGACGTTTTTGTCGAAGAAACGTCGAGTTACGGGTTAGGTCGTTGACGTAAGAATAACTTTATATTTTTTTTATAAGATTTAATTAATTTTTGTGTTAAATTATTATATTATATTTGACTTTGTGTTTGATACATTTCGTAAATAAAATAATTCTATTTTAAAATCTGGACTTAGCGCAAATATTTAATATTCACGGTGATCTCGAAATTGTGTGTGTGTGTGTGTGCGGCTAGAGTCTAGGTTGGACTGCTGGTCCTTTAGTCAATCTTAATAATTAGTGTACGAGCTGGCTAGTGTTTGGGCTTAACCGTCCTTTAGTGGGTATAGTAAAAAGGTAGTTGTGCTGGTGGCTGACAAGGAGCCACCCTTCAGTCTGCTACTTTTGAGCTAGACTGTGCTGACGGGTCTAAACTCTACCCCTTTAGTAGTCCACTAATTAGAGAGATTGGGGCTGATCAGTTTATCCAACGGGAGGACTCGAGAAGAGCTCGGACGACGAACTCGTCGTCTATATATATATACATAAAACTTTAATAAATCTTTGTGTCTACGTTGGGGCACTACCGACGTACGACACATAAGAAATGTTTCGATTAAAATCTGTAGTCTTTAATTTTAGAGATTAGTGGCTTATTCTAAAAACGTCATAAACTATATTTTCTTTTATTATATCTTGATTAATAGTTCTTTAATTTATAAGTATAATATAAGAATAAATAATTATAGACAATTAATATGTTTAATAAATATTAATAGTTTAATTAATATGGTAATTTGATTTAGTATAAAATTGATATTCAATCATTTAATATTGTAATTTTTACGGATACTAAAAAATATAAAGTGATTGTATGCAGTGTGGTTATTTTAATTATATTTATAAAATTCTTTTTGGTATTATTTAATTGTGTATATTTTTTGATATATTAATTACTGAATTTTTAAAAATTTTATATCGTATAAAATGTAGAGTATAGATTAGGTTATTACATTATCATTATGTATTACTCCACCACTCTTTTTCCTCTTTATATTTAAAATCATAATAAAAATAATTGAAATAAATTATTTTTATTTAAAAAAATTGTGATTTTTTTAATTTGACGGAAAATCTTATAATTCGTTTCAAAAGATTTAATTTTATATAAGATTTATGATTGTAGTGGTCCCGGAACTTATCCAAAAATTATGTTGAAAAAAGAAATTTAATATGCGTGAGTGGTTTTAGTCAAACCTTTCTCGAACTTAGGTTTTTTTATTGTCATAAAAAAACATCAAAATAAAGACTATTTTATTTAGAATATTTTAATTAAATTTTAATAGGATCAGTTTTTTTTTTAGCATTTTAACATTTTATAGCAATTTAAAAATGCAGAAAATATTTTTGAAAATAGGGCATTTTCAATTAAAAAGGGCTTTTAATAGTAGCGTAATTTTAAGATATTTGTTTGAATTTTTAAAATCAAGTAGTTTTATTGTAATATTTGGTGATCTTAAATTCAACTAGATTAATATTGGGTTCTTTTGACGTATTGATCATTAAAATCAGTCCTATAAGAACTGTGAATTTTTATGATCAGACATAAAAAAAGGCACACTATCACATTTCCAATATCCTCATAGCATTGTATTGAAACTAAAAAATCTAAACAAAAGATTTAAAAAAGTCTACTCAATTAAACATATTATAAAAATTAATTATAATTCGAAAATTCCATTATTATATTCAGGCAAAATCCAAAAATCATTTTTTAGAAATGTTTAATACAGTGACAATTACAAAAAAATTTTATTCACTAATGACTGATCGTAAACCATACATAAGTGTAATTATTTAACTTTGTAGTTGAAACCTATCATCATATCAAACCTAATTCGACAATAAATATATTAAAAATATTAGAAATGAATAGTTTTAATTGTCTATATGGAGAATGTGGGTTAAGTAACTTTTTATTTGATAAAGTGGAAATTTTTTTTCAAATATCTTCAGATAGATACGAATTTTAATAATCTGACGTACCATTAAAAAATATTGTTTAAGTGGAGCTAAGTAAATGACAAACACAAAATAAAATCACATAGTTAAATAATAATTAATACATTTTTATTTAAAAAATTGTATTATTTAACTACGGCATTCATTTGTACATAAAAGAAACATTGTTGAGAAATTTTTTTTTTTATCTTATAATAAGATGTAACGTGAACTCTTTAATATTTAAAGGGAGATTTCCTGCGACTAATGTAAATACACATTATAGTAAAATTAATAGCTTCTCAACTTCAGTTTGAAGCTAAAATTACAAAACTAATATTGAAATCTGGTCGATGAAAATATAAATAAAAATATTTATACCAGCTTTTCATTGATTGTTTGATACTAAACTTAATTTGTTTTCGATTCCAGAATTAAATGAAGTAAATGAACAAGTTTCATGTATTCAAGATAAATTACGTTTAATAATAAATGTTGAGTAATGTATATCTTTGTTATTTTTACAGTTGCAAAAATTTAATTTTCTAATAATATTGTATTGTTTTATTAAAAGAAAGTTTAATCATTAAATTCATATTCAATTATATAAACATGGCTTTGTTATTTATTTCATAATATACTTTATCGTTATTATATTCATCGCTCATTTAAATGATTTGCCAAATTATATAACATTTTATATTTATGGTTAAATTATGCTTTTTAATAGCTAAATAGAATAACAAAAAAAAAAAAGTTTTCTTGTTATATCAATTGAACACATTATTTACGGAATAATCTTACATAACAATTTTTCAAATATTTTATTAATAGAAATTAAATTATAGGGCTAATATTTGAATAATTGTATGAAATAAATCTAAGTATATTAATACCTGCAAAATATTTGTCATCCAGATGTTGAGTAAAAGCGAATGTATGATCTTCAAAATATTCTAGAATTTTATAGTTTATCATTATTTTTAAACTTATATTATTCTTAATTTATAAAACAAAAAGAATAATTCTAAACATATATAAATGTTTTTTTTATTATTTGTAATTTATTCAAGATTTTCTTTACTTGATAGTAAAGTAGGATCAATGGGGAATTTTCTAAAATTTTGGAAACTTACAATTTATTATTAATTTAAACATATGATATTCTTTAGAATAAGTTAGCATTTTTGGTTAAAATATGTTTTTAAAAGGTAAATAGAACAAAAACAAAAATAAATTTGGATCAACTGCAATTATTTTTAATTATAATTAATTACACAATAATGTTACTTAAAAATAATGCTTAAATATAACACATTTAATATATAAAAAATCTATAAATAAATACCTTCAATATTTTCGTCATTCAGTAATTGAGTTAAATCAATTGTAAAATCTTCAAAATATTCTAGAAATTTATAATTTATCATTGTTTTTCATCTATGATACTCTGAACCAAATGAATAATTGAAAAGAAAATAAGTATAAATGTTTTGTATATTAGTTTAAAATTATTCAATATTCTCTTCATTTGGTACTAAAGAATAATCAATAGATGTGCATTCTATATTTTCCATAAACGTTACTAAAAACGTACAATTTCAAAATAGGACTAAATTTTTACGTCTATAATATATCTAAGTAAATACCTTCCGTATTTTCGCCAATCAACGTTTGAGTAGAAGCGTTTGCAGCTATATTTTCTAAAAATGTATAAAAGTAAAGAAATTTAAACATAAGATTTTTTGCAAAATCATGCTCTGAATAATATAAATACAAGAAAAAAGAAGATATTTACCATTTTCTGATGGTTCTAGTAGGGCTGGTATAAGTGTTTCATTTGTAATTGTGTTGAATATAAAACCTAAATTAACATATTTTTCTTGAATAACCCACTGAGAAAAATTAATAATTTTAAAATTGAGATAATTATAGAATTCCATATATCTACCATCCAATTGCATTTTGTGATATTCATTATTAAAACTTTGCCAAAATAAAGTGAAAGTTTCAAAATTAATATTACAAATACTCATGCTTTTATTTAGTTCATCATTCCATTTATTAATGAAACTTAAAATTTTAAGTAATGTTTCATTAATATTTGACTGATTCATTTGTAAAAGTGGTAATAAGTTCAACATTTCTTCATTTTGCAATTCCTTGATTAATTTTATATTATCTAAAATAAATTTGTTTAAATTATTATTTCCTATTGGGAGTTTTTGGGTTTTATCTAAAGCATCTATCGCACTTCCCATATATATTACCATTGAAGTTAAATAAGGTATAGTTTTTAGAAGTTCAATAGTGCAATTATATGCATAGTCGTTTAAATTTTCTTGATTTGAAAAATATTTACAGTGATCTTGAAAATGAAGTAACATAAATAAAAAATTCTTTAAAATGTTGGTGTATGAACATCCAAGTATTAACGTCATAATACGTATTTGTTTATCATATTTATATGTGTTTTGAATTATATCTTGTAATGTATGATTGCACTTTGAATATGTGACATAGTTAACGTCATTTATATTTTTCCAACCACTGTGTTTAAATAAATTATTGATTTTAATTGAAGAATATTTCCTCTCGTAGCAGTTTCCTTCATTGTGAAAAATATAAAATTGTAATATTTGTATTAAAGAAAAGTTTAATAATAAAATTTGTAGATCACAGTATGTGATATTATTTAAATTAATTTAAATTATGATAATAATTTTAAAATTATACATAATCTTCATTTTTATTTAATTCTACGTCTTATTATTATCGTTACATAATATTAATATTTTCATCATACATTGTAAAAATATATACAATAATTCTATGAATTGATTCATTATACAGAATATATTTGAATATATTTTTTGATTTATCAACTAATAATCACTTTTTAATATCATTCATTATAACATAAAGGGGTGCCAACATAATTTTTTTAATTGACAACATACATATTTAACTAGCTTATAAAATAGAAAATAATCTTATTAAGAAAATTACTGGTCATTTTAGGCGAGGAGTAGGTGCAGCTTTTCTTATATAGCAGTTATTCACCAACCGTAATTTTGTTCCCGTCTATGTATGAAAATGAGAATAACCTTTAAAGTATTAGTCCAAAAGTTGATATCGATCAGTCATTTTCTTAATTAGATTATTTTTTATTTTATAAACTAGTTAAATATGTATATTTCTTTTAGAAAATATAAAGTTGACATCCCTTTAAGTTATAAGGGATGATTCTTAAAAGTCTTTATATGTTGATAGATCAATAAATATATGAAACTAAAGGAAATCGAATTTTTTTTTCAATATTCTATTTATTTTGCGAGTAATTGAGTGGTTTAATCATTTACTTTTGTCAATTACACAAACATATATATATAGCTTTACAAATATTATTGAAATGAATATAGAGAAACTCATAACACTTCTTATCGGTACACTAAATAATAACGATACTATATTTACCCGACTACTGTTTTATTTGTTAAATCCCCTAAACTTTAAATAGTAATATCTCGCTTAGAATTTATTAAAATTGATTTTTTTTTTTTGAGAAATTTTTTTTTATTATTATTAACAAGATTAATAAAAAAAAAAACTGGGTTGCTATTTGAAAAACTAAAGTTGATATTGATTTAAGGGTTGAGGGATGAAGATTGTATCTTCATTTTTCTTGTCAAGTAGCTCAACAAAGATTTATAACAAATAAAATAATTACATATACGATTACATATTCATTCTGTACAACAGTCAGCAGATACCACAATAAATGTCAATAAGACTATTAGTGCAATATATTCTATTACTGATGTAAAAAAATGTAGTTAATTATTATTAATTAATTAGAAGTTCTTATACCTGCTTCATTTTTCTTTGATGTGTCTAATAAAATTGTTTTTTTGATGCTTGAGTCAAATTTGAAACCTAAATTCGTATATCTTGCAATAATAGTCCAATGGATTAAACTTTTGATCTTATGACTAATAAAGGTGCGAAATTCTTGATTACTATTTTTTTCATTTGAAAATTGATATTTTTTATTTAAAATTTGCCATAATGAATTTAAATTTATTGATTTTAAATGACAGAATTTTAAATCATCTTCTATGTATAATTTTATATCAATAAAATAATTTTTCATTATTTTTATTATGTTTTTAGTATTTAGTGGATTTATTTGTAAAGGTGATAATACGTTTAAAGTTTCTTTGATACGCAACTTAGTAGTTACATTATTTAAAATAAGTTCATTTCTTTTATTATTTACCACTGGGCGACGATGTAATTTGTCTATAGAAACCAATGCACCTTTCATTAGTGTTGCTAAGTAACTTAAATTTGGCATTGTATTGATTAGTTCAATAGTGCAGTCGTACGCATATTTGTTTTCGTTTTCTGAACTTATTAATGTTTCACAATACTCTAAAAAACGGTCCATAATAAAAAAAATTGTTTTCAATACGTTTGCGTAAGAACATCCAAGGATTATTGTTGCACTACGAATGCGAGTATTGCAACTATTTGATGTTACAGGCGTTTGTAATGTTTGTTGTAAAGTGTATTTATTATTATTATACATAATATACTCCACTTCAGTTAAATTTTTCCAACCATCATTTTCGAATAAAAATTTAACTTTATCTTTGGTACTATTAACTATTTGAATATACATAAGCAATGAAAAAATTAAGACATATAATTTAATACTATAAAAAATTTCCATTTTAATATTTCAAATAGTAAACTATTGAATTTGAATATCACAAAATATAAAAAAAGGAAAAGGTTTAATAAACATGAAAGTTATAACTGTTAATAGTTTAAATGAAATAATAAAATAAATTATATAAGTAATCTTATATAGTGGAGAGTGAAGCAAGATCTTCTTGGATTTAAAAAAATAAAGTAATGTTTGCGAACTATTTATGGAATCTGATGCAAGAACCAAAAATCTTTTATAATTATTTACTATACATTTGCTAAATGTTTTGCATGTGCTTTTAAAGTAATAGTTTTGGCTATTGATTATACTTAACGCTGTAAAATAAATTTTGGAATTTTAGAATATTTCACAACATTTATTTTTCGTTCATTTTCATTGAATAAATATCAATTAATAAAATTATTTCTTACCTATTTACGTAATATATAATGAATAAAAAATAATATTGGGAGTACATAGTGTTTTGATCTTGGCTTTGCTTAAGTTCCAAAAGTATTTGTTTTCGCCCCACTTAAAATAATTTACTCAAACTTGATTTTCCTAAAATATTTCCTATAATTGTTTACGCCAATATTTATTGCTATGTTTAATGTAAAATTCTGTTAATGTCAGCGTTATCTATTTATGGAAATCTGATGCAAGAACTGAAAATCATTCGTAATTGTTTTTTTATAAATTTACTGGTCACATTCTTCCCGACCGACTACGATAAACAGAGAAAAGTATTTACCTATAATAAACCAATTAAAATATTCTCAATATTATTTTTGTTTTTTGATTAATTAAGTAGTTTATGATAAATAAATTACTTTGCATATGAAATTTTTATATATAAAATAATTTATTTATAATTAATTGAACTTGCTAAATTACTGAAAAAAATACTAATAACTAGTAGCGTACCTTAGAAGGCCATCATGTCAATTTCAACCTTTTAAATATTTTTATATAAAGTAGTATTTTTATTGAATTTGAAGTTTTTTTATTAAATAAATTTATTAAGAAATTCCACTAAAATTAATGCGCTATCCGACTCTAAATCTGTTCCAAAAATCGTAAATCAAATGTAATTGTTTTTATTTACTAAATTCATTCAATAAATGAAATACATGTACTTCATATATAAATTTTTAGGCTACACATTTTACGTAATGATGTAAAAATGACAAAAAAATGTATTTTTTGTTCATTTTTATAACAATACATATATTTTTTGGGTGTTCAGTAAATAAGAAAACGGGTTTCTATTGTTCTCATTGTTTGTAACAACTGACCTATTTTCTTACTTACTGAACATATAATTTATAGATTAATTTATACACCTTAAAATTATTGACTACCAACTTACTTAATTTTGATTGAATTAAAATATTATATTACATCTAAAGGTTTAAACTACTTAATTAAAATTGTATATTTATAACAATTTTTATCATTATAAAATAATCACCTATTATAAGGTATATATAATGTTTTGAAATTTGGATTTTTTAAGCTCTAAAAAGTCTAATATAACCTATAATTACTGAAATAAAAACTTAATACCGTGGTTAAAGTATAATTTTAGATCAACAACAGTGTACATTGGAAAAAAGATAAGGAATTTTTCTTTTATTAAGTTTCACTGATAATCTGATAACTGTATAGTTAAAACACAATTAAATTATATTGTATTATATTGACTAATATATAACAATGTATAGAGTGGCCCAGCATTCACTGACAACTTAAATAACTATAAAAAAATTTCATTATTTAATAGTTGAAAATTAATTTCATGAAAAATTTAACTACTATGATTAGTATATAATTAAGGAAATAGAAGATCATGTTATTTTTGTAATAATCTACCAAATTCTTAAAATGAAACACTACAGATTCGAATTGAAGCATTTATTATTATAGTGATCTTAATCATTATCAAATATTATTTATACTTGTCCCAACTATGCATTGTACATGCTGTGCCACGACTGCACTGTGCTGCCGTTTTATTTGTTAAATTAAAAAGAAACATATCAGTTAAATTTTTTATTTTTGGTTTTCTTTAGTTACTCATTGTTCTTTAATTATTAACTATGTATTAATTTTTAAGTTCACCTCTGATACCTTGTAAGGGTTTAAACTTTGTTTTATTTAATGGAAATACATATTTAGAATTTCATAAAATGTTTGAGTTTATACTTTAATAGTAAATGGCGTTTGAATTTTATATAACTTTATTAGTTTATTATATATAAACTTTTAAAGTTTCAAATTTTTGAGTTAATATACATGTATAATACACAAGTGAGTACAAATACAGGTAGTTAATTGGTTTTTATAATGTCCCTGTCATAGTTACGGAGTGTTTATTGTCAATTATAACAATCAATAGATATACTTTCTAAAATGCCAGTTAGTGTATTTATAAACTCACAACAATATGCTTTAGTACCATTGATAATAAATGCTGCGCAACTGCAAATATCGAATTAGTATTAGTACCTAATTTAATTGATTTAAACGAGACTACTGATAAGCAATTGGTTCTTATAGTTCTGAGTCATATGAATTCCTAAATAAATTAATACATCTTTATACTACTTCCGTCAATATACAATGACGGAATTAAATTGATAAGTCTTCAATTAGTAATGATTTATGATATTTTGACTTATTGTTGAAAGAAATCGGCCCGAAAGAGCTGAGAAAAAGTAGTGACAGCCACAAAATAACAAAAAAACGTAGCACAGTGGGGTCACGGCATAGTTGGGACAAGTATAGATGATATCTGACAGTGATTAAAACCACTATCATAAGAAACGCTTCGAATCAAATCTGTAAATAGTGTTTAGTTTTAAGAAATTAGTAGATTATTTCAAAAACAACAATAACTCTTATTCCCTTAATTTTATCCCGATTAGTTATTTGATTTATAATTATTAAATATGAATAAATAACAATTTTAGTAATTAAATTTAGTATGAAATTGATATTCAATAATTTAATATTGTAATTTTTACGGATATTATAAAAATAATAAAGTAGTAGTATATTTCTTTACTTTTAACGCGTAAAAATTTATAGAGCTTGTCGCAATACTTTTCAATAAAAAATGTTTGTTACTTATAATGAAGTTATAAGTTTTATACACTGAACTACAAGGAACTTTCATTAGAAACAAACATGTACTTTTCTAAATCAACTTTTCTGGATGTTTTCAAATATGCAATTAAACTTTTTATATCACTTCCAAGTTTTAATATTATTACTTATTATTAAAAAATAAGTATTTACATATAAAAAAATAATTAAGAACAAAAAAATATCATTTTAAATTAATTCTGATTTTGATTATTAATATGTTAAAAATAAGGAAAATGACTAAATTGGCCTCTTTTGTTAATCCTTAAAAGTTGATTATTGTGCAAGTTTATAATAAAAAAATGTTTATTACAATAGCTTTTAGCTCAATTTACAAGTTTGAAATTGACATCATAAAATCAAAAATTTTATGAAAATTAAAAAAATTGTATCGTTAAGATTAATATGCAGTCAGAAAATTTTATAATTCCTATTTATAGTAAATTTATCAGAAACGCTCATTATTTTTTTGCATTTTTATCGTAATTGATTACTTAAATAGAAATAATAGTAATCATTTCCTAGTAACTTTTGGTGTTTAAAAAGATTCTATAATTGAAATATTCAGAAGTTTTGATTTACTTTAACTAATAGAATCAATCAAAACAAAGTTGTTAAAAAAAATTACTCAATTGAGCGTATTATAAAATTTGATTATAATTGTAAAAATCCATTATAATTCAGGAAAAACTAACAATCGTTTTTTTTAGAAATGATTTATATAGCAACATGTTACCAACAAATGTCGAATATTATAGTCTAGTAGTAGCACACTCAAATAGAGTAAAGTATTATGAAATTACAAAGTAAAAGGATTTAATTTTGTAGTTGAAACCTATCATATCAAACTTGATACGTTAATAAATAATTTGAAAACATTAGAAATTAATGATTTTAATTGTCTGTATGGAGAACATGGGATAAGTAACTGTTTCATTGATAAATTAAAATTTTTTTTCAATTTTTGAGGGTAATATCTTCAACTAGATACGATTTGTAGTCATTTGACGTATCGTTGAAAAAAGTAGATCAAGTTAGAGCAGAGAAAATAAATGATATCTTCTCAGCTTTGCATCGAAGCTAAAACTTAAAATATAGTAAAATAATTTTAATATGAATAAAAAATTTCTTCTCGCGAGTAGCGACTACAGTGATGGGATCCTTGATCTTTATTGAAGTTATTGAATCTAAATGAGATAAAAATCAAAGGAGTTGAAAATTTATTCTAACTTAATAAGAATTAAGAAAAAAATGCAAAAAATCCATTAGCATACGGGGGTTGGAACCTTGTACCCCAAGTACGTAATACACAAGTTTTACTGACTCAGCAACCGTGCGTTGCTTCCGTCGACTGCAAAAAAATGGCAATTTAAGCTAGTTCAAATTTCAAAGCTATTTTTCTCGACTTAAATAAAGCAAAAAAATTTAAATAAGTTTAACTTTCTATGCTATATCAATTTGATTTATATAATATTTATGAAAATCAGTGTACACCCCTTTTAAATTAAAATAAAAGACAAAACCTAGAATTTTATTTTATTTTAAAATACCTTACTAAGGATTTTGAGTAAGAAAAAATTTTTTTACTCATATAAATTTAATATCATTTAGATTCAATAACTTTAATCAATAATATTAAGGACTCCATTACTATAGTCTCCCCTCATTTGAATACATTTTTTATTCATATTTAAATTATTTTATTGTGTGGTTTTTTTGTGGCTGTCATTTATTTTCTCAGCTCACACTGGACCAATTTTTTTTTAACCATACGTCAACTGATACAACTGTTATCTAGTTAATATATAATCCTCAATAATTTAAAAAAAAATCCCCTATATCAAATAAAAAATTTCTTAACCAGCCTTCTCCATAAAGACAATTAAAATAATTTATTTCTAATATTTTTAAAGTACTTATTGTCGAATTAAAGCGAGAAAGAAAAAGAAGATTTATTGTCGAATTTGGTTTGAA